TTTCCTTAATGCTATATTAATTAAGTCTAATATTCCAAATAATTTTTGATTAAATTCAACTTCCAAATGTAAATTATTTTGTCTTCTCCTGCTGAAAATAATAGATTTTCTTTTTAGTTTATAATAGCACATTCTATATATCCAGAATGTTATTTATAAGGTTTTGAAGATTTCCATTAAGTAGGTTCTGTTTATTACCAACATCGAATTGAAGAATCAGCTGAACCAGATATAAAGGAATTAGAAAGCTTACTAAATATTAATACGTAAACATTCATAGAATGCCCATCCAATTAGCATATTTCTTCAATTATACTATTTGAAAATCTGAATACTCTAATTATTGAATTACTTGTGGATATCATAATTTAATTAGAATTATTAAATGAAATAGCTCTACAAGGTTCTGGTTATATTATCTTATTATCAATCAGTTATATATCAAAATTATCATTCTTATTTTTTTCATTCTTTCTGCTTTCTTGTTCAGTATAACATTCCAAATCAGATTTTTCCAATAATTTCAAGGATCTTTTTAATTCTTAGAATTCATCCTATTGTTGTAACGTCATAAGTTAATTTAATAAAATACCATTTTTTATTGACAAGATTAGTTATTAAATTTAATATTGTTCATTAAATTCTCATGTTCTTTAGATATTGATATTTTTTTTTTAATTAGATTTTCTAACTCTTCAAAGAAACTATATGTAAATGTGCTTGGCAAGATTTAATCTAACCAATTTTGCTATTGTTATACAATACCTTATAATTAATCTAGTTAAAAATTGATTTTTGTTTTAAGATTATAGAGCTTTGTTCTAACATCCTCTAGCTTTAATTTTGTTTATATTATTAAGTTTCCATATTTTCGGTTTTTTGTTTTTAATCATTTTCTATAATTGAGAAGATTTTTTGAAACCCAACTATATTGGCATTCCCTTCAAAGTTGTTAATATAATAATTGTTCATCTAATAATACAATTTAAATAGGTTAATTATGATTTTTAGAACAGGCGAGCTAATGTTTATTTTCTATTATTGAATATTTGAACATTATTAATATTTCTAATAGAATTAACAATTTAATTAAATTTATATACTCTTAAATTTTTATATCATAATATTAATATATAATGTAATCTTGTTAATAATATTAATTAAGGGATATAATATTTTATTAAAACATAATTTTACAGAAGTAGTAGAAAGTGAAATAGTTGTTCAAGATCAAGTTTAAATTGAAGATAAAAAATTGAAAGAATTACCAAAAAAATTAAATAAAATAGAAGAGAAGAGATATAATCAATTATTGATAACCAAAGATTTTATGAAATAAATTTAATGAATAATATCCAACAATTTATTTTATTATCCATAATAACACTAATATAAGATTAAACTTTAAGTTATATAATTCAAAATATTTAGCAAAACATTTTACTTATAAATCTTGTCAAATCTAATACATTGGAAAGTAGGGAACAATTATGAGAAAATGTAAAATATAAATAGAATTTTAATTAGATTGTTAGTTAAATGAAATCATTGCAATATTAAATTTATTTATTTATTTATTTAGGATAATATTGAATATCTATCTATTAGTAAATAGTAGAAGTAAAGTAAATTTTCTGATTTTATATTCTAGAAAATCCATTTCTTTTTGAAATTTTATTATGTCTTAATTAGTTGATATTTTTATCATTTAATTTATACATTTGTATTTTCATAATTAATTGTTATAAATTATAAATATTAAGAATTTTATATGGATGTAGTATAATGATATCAAATTATAATAAATTTAGGTTTCCTGTTAAACTTAACAGGGCTTCTCTTTTTAACAAAATATTTTATTCTATATTATCTATTTCTAAAAATTGTTTAATATGTTTTTAATATTCATTTACATTATTTCATTTATATCTTATCACTAAACATAGAATAATTTGTTTTAATAAATACTTCTAAAAAATTGGTTTTATTCTTTTTATACATTCTATATTTATTTTAATATCATTTATATGAAAATTAGTTTATAAATATTTATTAATATAAAATAATGAATAAATAATCTAAATGAAGCATTATGCAAAAGTAAAAATGACAGTTCTGAATTATGCAGAGGCATTAGCAGGAAAAGGTATCATAAATAGTAAACCAAATTTAAGGAATTGTTCAAAGTTAAACAATTCATTTATTATAATAATATGTAAAGGAAATATTGATGATGCTCTAATAATTATAAAGAAATTATTTGAAATTTAACAAAATTGTCTTTTAGGATTTTAAGGATATTTGAAAAAAAAGAGAAATAATAAGATTATATTAATTACAAATATGGGATTATCTTTTTTGTATTTCAACTAAATTGATATATAACAATTGTATTAAATTGTATGACTAACATAAATTCATGCTTTCTCATCTCTTAAAGAAAGCCAATCAAAAAGAAATAGAGCCAACCCATTTTTAGAAACCAGTATGCGTTCTCCATAAAAAAAATAAAATCTTGAGGATTTGTTAATAAAATAATAAAATAGTGAATCTGAAAAGCAAGCTAAGATGCTAGAAAATTAAGCAATAAGATAGATTTAAACTGTAAAAAATTTTTATTTTTCTTCCTTTTTAGTTATCATTTTAATCATGTCATAAGTACTTATTAACTTAGAAATTAATTTTACCCAAATAATGTACCAAATTAAATAATTCCGATGTAGACACTTTTGAAACTAAAAGCTATTTGGCTCTTAAGAAAATTTCTTATTTAAAATAAGGATGAAAAGCAAAGTTGTGCAACGCTTCCTAATAAGAAAGATTGTAGAAATTAACTTTATTTATTTTTTAAATACTTTAAGAGATATTTTTAATTTGATTTTTCTTTGATGATATTTTAATAGAGCCTTTCTTTTATATAAAATCTTAAACACCATGCTAAGGAGTTCCACTTTCCATCATATAGCAATTTATTTATTAATTTTTTGAGCTCCAAATCATTAAACAATCTCTATTATATAAATCTATGGTAAATTTGAATTATTACATTCTTTTCTCATCCAAATTATTGAACATTCCATTTGAACATAAAAATGGATTATCTGAATGATAATGTCCCATATATTTCCAATAATTTGATAAATTTCCTACAATTTCTGCTATAAAACCTGATAAACTTCCATAAAGCAAAATATAATAATCGTTCATGAATATATAATACTTAATTTAAATTGAATTAAACAATTTAATCTTGATGCATGAATATTCTCATCTTTTCTCTTCAAGTGTCTCGCAATAAAATTTCAATTTATTTGAAAATAGCATTATTTTATATTTATGGTGACCAAATGCCCATAACTAAAAGAGAAAAGTAAAGAGTTTTATTATAAGATACCTAGGCAGAAAATATTGAATCATTGGTATTTAGCATACATGGATTACTATCCAAAACAGAATAAATATATTGATTATTATATCTTTGTCTTATTTCCATTTTTTTTAATTTTGCATGAAAAAGAATGAAATTTTTTGGATTAATTTATATTATAATTAAATAATATAATATTTCTTTTGTAAATTATTTATTAAAATTATA